TTGGGGAGGCATTTGTACTTGACATTCTTTGAGGGATCACCCTACTTAAAACATCTACCATGCAAAAGAAGGGTGCATAAAAGGGATAAACTTTCACTGGTAGTTTATATATGTGTGATATGGTATAGCCCCTTTTCACAGCGCATGGTGATCTCCATCTCCACCTGCGCGGTCTGCCCATGCATGATTGTCCTCGTGGTGATCTCCTTCTCCACGCCATGGTGTCAACCGCCAAGTGTTACATAAGATACTATGCTATTAAAAACTAATAGCTACTGAAAGTAAATTACATTACATGGCTTCTCATGTTGACACGCAGATCATTAATACAATAATGGGACAACCATATGGCTCCTGCCGGTTGCCACACTCATGACACGCAGGTCATGAAATAATAATATACTAGCAACATACATGGGATATACCAAATCACAGTCATTCCCTACAAAAACGAGTCAGACATTCTACCGCCGAAGATAAAACCTCTTGAAACTCTATCTTCCAAGCGGATTTTCTCATTCCGAGATTTCGCCACTAATCCAACTTTTCGTTAGCTTTAGTTTGACAGGTCGTGGAGCAAAATCGGAGTTCGTATGCAAAAGTTACAACCGTTTTACCGAGACCGCTCCAACAGATTTCAGCACCGCGGAAATCACATTTCCAAGGTGTTGATCTATGTTCCGATTCGATCAAACTCATTGATCTTCGCGTGCTGCATCCGGGTTTACGTTCCACTGTCTACCCCGATGGCGGAAACCGACCGGTAGGGGTAAGTCGTGTCACGACCTCTGCGTCACGATCACGAAAACAAGATCACAAAACCAACCTTCAACACTGACGTGCGCGACCGATCTCATCGACCCGCACTTGAACCGATCTACATATCTCATATGCATATCATCGAAACTATCACCACACAGCGGAGGCTCTGATACCACTGTTGAAACACGCGGTACGCTACGCTAGCGCCAAATAAAATTTTCTACCACGCACCCAAGATCATGCTGCTGGAAATGGATCACGGGATCGGGTTTACCACTAGACGCGCAGTCACCGCAGCGGAAGTAGAGTTGGTGATGCGTGTAGCCGATCTCCCGAGCCATCTCCTCCTCGCGTCGTCAATCTCCCGCGAACAACGAAGACCCGTGAACGGTGATCTCCCGCGGACGGTGCCTCGCGGTTCTCTCGAACGATTCGTCCAAGCACCGAAGATGCGATGCCTACAAGATATCCACACGTGCAGGGTGCAGCGGCGGGCGGCAGACTGCTAGGTCCGGTCGCACGTCATGGGCGTGGGGAATGGCGGCGACTATTGAGGGTTGGATCAAGATCAACCCTAAGAGGTGCACACACTCCCCTTTATATAGACATCCGAGGTGGGCTCAACACTTGATCCTACTAGGAGTCTGTGTCCATTTACCAGTCGGATCCAATCCGAATGTGCTGCAGCCCCTTAAGTGTGCAACCCTATAGGTTCACGTACACATGGACACGACCAAGTCGATAGTTGGTAGCGGCTCCTAGCAGAACATGCCAACTCCCATGTGTGCGTAAAGTCGTTTGGCGAACCTCGATAATGTGTCATATGCAACATTCCTTTTGCCTCATGATATTTGTTATCAAGCTCAAGGCGAGTACTTGTCACCCTTGTGATAGTTTGACCTCTCTTCTCGAAACCGTGATACAGATTCCCGAACTGAGTTAACACTTAGCCCAAGACGCATGGCCATGCTTTTTGAATCTGATCACTCGAGAGGGCCCAGAGAATATCTCTCCAAATAGGAGGGGCAAATCCCATCTTGGTCAACCATGTCTCGCGGCATGTCTCACGACTCACCCGAAATCTACCTTTATAACTACCCAGTTACGGAGTAGCGTTTGATAGACCCTAAGTGAATCGATCCTCATCCCGAGAACATGTGAGGACCTCAGGTCTAGGACATGGCGTAGACATTATACTTGAGACTAACAGATGACAATCTCTCGCTGCGTCTCAAAGTGGGTCTGTCCGACTCGGTGATCTCCATCCCCGAGTCCATACTATCGGTTTAGCATCTCCATGCACATGACTTGTGAAACATAGTCATCACCCGAGTTGTATACTAGTCAAGGATATGTGTCCGCATAACCTTATCAACTAGGGACCATTAGAACAATCATCATACAATACATAGTTCCACAAACAAGTCACATACTTATTGATACATTCATTGATGATGTTCAAGGACAATACAAAGGACCCATGAATACATATGGAAATATCATCATCACATGATTGCCTCTAGGGCATATCTCCAACATTTGGGCCCAAAAGTGGCGGAGGATGAAATAAATTTAAGGTGGATGAATTCTTAAGCATGACTATTTTCTATAGAAAATCAAAATAACCAATGCAATCTAACAATGCGTACAATTTTTTTTGTGCGATTCTAACCAGAATAACGAACCTAAAACATGTCGATAATGGGTCTTTAATGTAGCCTAAAAGATGCGAACCAACTTGTGGTTGAATGGTTAGGTGGACAATGGTATCCCATCTCATCGGGTTCAAATCATGGTGTTCGCATTTTTATCCTGGATTTATTTCAGGATTTTTGGCGGCACGCGTTCACTGGGAGGAGATGTTCCCGTCGACTACGAGTCGAGACGTCTATGGTAACTTTATAAAATCTCAAGATGCTATGTCGCCTTTTTTTAATGCAACTTTTGCATGTGGAATGGCTTATTTGATTGAGTTATGACTCCTTGCTCCAGCAATCAGGTCCTTTAATTGCAAGACTAACAGTTATTTCAATTTCACTTAATCATCATTCTAACTTGAAACTTATCAAAAGAATTCTAACTTTTAATACGTAAATGCGAGCTCACGTGTAATATAACTCAGAGTGAAGTAGCCAAGGGCTGGCACGACTGGGGTGGCATGTTGAACTAGAGAACTCGGACTTGTCAGGGGTCTTGAGCCCTTCTTATATTGAGCTAGATGCATGTAATTTTATTATCCCGATGCAACGCACGGGCACACGCTGACGTCGTGAAATCTTAAAATGACATACTGGCTCACTCTCAGAGGTACTCATAAGGGTAGGATGTGCGTGTGTGTATTCCTAGAGTAAGTATATGCGCATATATATGAGCGTTGCGTCTGTACTGTGTTATGAGAAAAATGTAGCCTAGAAGATCCTGGCAATTTTAATTTGGAGGAGGTCTTTATGGCCATTTTAATTCGGGGGACAGTTGTGGCGAGGGTCAATAATATATCCTGGCAATGCAAGATCATGGACCATGTGGAAAGGCCCTCCTGGTGGCATCTTTCAGACCACAAACTAATTAAAAAGATTCTTTCGCAGAAAAACTAATTAAAATTTAGAATTCAGAATAAAAACTCTTCTAGTTTGGGCAAGAAGAATAAAAATTTAAAATTAACTCTTAGAGCATCTCCAATAGCTATGGATGTCTATACTCGTTTTCCACGACGTGAGCCCAAAACAGGCGCCCAACACCTTGTCTATATGGTCGTCCAAATATACACATCTTCTAAATCGACCTCGACAATGTCCACGTCTGGACAATGTGAAGGCGTTGTCTAAACTCAGTTGTAGTCATGATTTCTTCCTCTCCTCAGCAACGGTCCATCTGTCATGGTCCCTTTATATAAACATTCTGATGCAAAACTGGATGTGTATATGAGAAAATCTTTTTAGACCATTCTCTATATGAATATATAGACATCCAAATATACACATGCTATTGGAGATGCTCTTAATGGGTATCGGGGAGGTATCGATGAATCAGAGAAGGAGCACGCTAGGTACATTGTAGCACTAGCAACTAGGGCAGCTATGCGCTTGAGCCTCGGCGAGGACATTGGCACGCAAGTTGACTATAGCTACCATCGAGTCGAGGACAGTATATGCCGACGCATTTCCTATTTTTTTATAAGTATCCGCGGCGGCGCTCAGCTTGCTCGTGCCGATCACATTACCGTTTCTCCCGTGCTCGACCATCTCGCCCCGCTGGGCCCCAACGTGTTTGAACTTCTTCGACGTGGCCAGGTCAACATTGACACGCAAAACTAGCCTAGGGCCCGGCGGTTATTTAATTGGAGTTGATTGATTCCACCGCCCGCCCGTCAAAAACTAAACTGGAAGGTAGTTTGACATTCGTCACCAAGCCAACTCTTTCCCCAGCGTACTCCTCGATAGAGACAATTGGGATGGTTTCATCATTCTTGATTTTTTTTTCACTAGTGTGCACCCTGCGAGGCAGGGCGGCCCCCTGGCGCCGTCCGCGGGGCACGCATTGCCCAGGCCACGCATTGAAGCATGCCGTGAGCTGCCTGCACCTGCACTGTGCCGGCCGCACGTTAACTGATCCGCCACGGACGTCGCCTTGACGCGCCTGCGGTGCACGGAGGCCTCGCACTGTGGACTACCACGCCGCGACTTAATTTTCACCGGCGCAACGTACGTGACTGACTGCCACCTCCGTGCACCGGGTGGTTTTATTACTCCACTGCCGCCGCCCCAGCGCAGCAGCAGCGCGCCACACGCGACCACGCACGGCACGAAGCAGCTGTTTAACTGCGCGGTGACAGCGCCGTCGCGCCTTCCCGCTTCGCTTTTGCTCCTGTTTCACCGTGCAGGCTCGATCGGTAATTCCCGGCGAGTGAAGGTACATAGCCGGGGTGGCGCGTCACCAGACAAAGATCGCAGAGCGCATATGCGGCTCTGCGGCACGCGAGGCGAGACGTGGAAATCAGGGAGCCAGCAGCCAGCTCCCACTTGATGTGATTGATGATAAATACGCGTCAAGTCGCTTCATACGCCTCCCTTTCTCGTTGGATCCCCATCCCCATCCCCATTCCCTTCTCCTCGCTTCGCAAGCTGCTCCGAGTCCCTCCCATGCCGTCCTGCAGCTAGCTGAGCTAGCTCGTGCTCCCCGTCCGAGCCCAGGTACAGGTCGCGTCGTGCTGTTCGTGGGGCTGCATTGCTCGGCGAGCGATGGACGTCGTCGTCGGGTTGCCGTCTTCTCCGCCCGAATCCGGGTGCTCCTCGCCGTCCCTGACCGCGTCGCCCGAGTTCGAGTTCTGGATGGTGGGCAAGAACCCGGGCTCCTTCCCCTCCCCCGCCCTGCTCACCGCCGACGAGCTCTTCTCCGACGGCATTGTGCTCCCGCTCCACACCCTCCAGGCCCCTCCTGCCTGCCCCGACGCCGAGCAAGACCAGGGTGAAGAAGGCGAGGACACTGAGGCCGATGCCGACCCCAACAAGCCGCCGGAGGAAGAAGGGGAGCCTGCCACGCAGGCGCAGCCGCTCGCGGAGGCCTGCGCCGTCCCGACGCCGGACCTCCCCGCGGTCACCTTCAAGTGGAAGGACATCTTCAAGGCCACCGGCGAGTCCAAGGAACGCGCCAAGAAGGCGGAGCGCCGCGTCAGCAGCGTCAGCGGCAACGCCGAGCTCATCAACATCAACATATGGCCCTTCTCCCGGAGCCGCTCCGCTGGCCACTCTACCTCCGGCGCCAGCGCCGGCGCTAGCAGCAAGGCCAAGGCGACCAGTCCCAGCACCGGCAACGCCAGTGCCGCTGTTCCCAGCGCACCGGCGGCTCCAGCGACGGCGGCCGGGCGCAAGGTTAGCAGTGCGCCGTGCTCCCGGAGCAACTCCCGCGGCGAGGCCTCCGGTTCGGGGGCGCCGGCCGTCGCCATTGCGGCGGCAGCTGAAAAGGCCGCTGCCCAAGCGCCCGCCACGTCCATGCTGAGGCGGTGGGTTCCCGGCGGTCAGAGCAGAGCAGTGCTCGGCACAAACGGCATCCGCCTGGGCAGGGCCAGCCCCGTCTGGCAACTGAGGCGCAACAAGCTACAGCATCAGCAAGCCGCCGCGGAGCAGAAGCAGAGCAGCAAGAACAAGGCCGTCCCCGAAGGCGACGCCGCGACGAGCCAAGGCCAAGCGGACGCCGGTGAAGCAGACAAGGCGACGGCGTCGGCCGCAGATGCAGCGCCGGCGACTGTGAGCGCGCCAGCCGCCGCGTGCCGGAACAACGCGGCCTGCGCGGAAGTCGCCGGCGAGGAGTGCGTCCCGCCGCAGGGGCTGTTCGGCCTCCGCACCTTCTTCTCCAAGAAGGTGTACTGATCCCGACACACCGCGCCATGCGTGGCCGTGGCCCCCTCACTGAATGTACATAGGACTCGAGCTGGTACAGGCTCGCCTCGTCGATCCCTTCCACGACCCCCTCCGCCGCCCGTTCGTTCGCTAGCTTAAGCATTCTTTTCCTCTTACTTATCTCTGTACTGTACTACGCATCGCCATGAATGATAGCTCAGCTCAAGCTGCCGTCCTCTCAATCATGAACCGTCCAAGTCAATGGCCATGTACCACTAGTTAGTGTGCACTAGTAAAACCGTAACACGCAAAAAACCATCGATGTGGCGTGCAACACAAACTCACCGGTCCCTTGCATGGCGAGACATGGGTTAATGGGGTTGGTTGGCTGAGTGGGGAGGGTGATGGGGCCAGAGATTAGAGGAGATGCCAAATGATTTGGGGGCAAAAGGCTGGAAAAGTCAGGGTGGCCTCTGCGGCGCCTGTCCCTCCCGCCCGCCGTCCATGCATGCACCGGAACCGGATCGACGATGGATCGATCGGGAGCTCTGGGCTGCATGCCGCCACGGGCTACGCAACATAAATAACACCATTCTTGTTTTGATTCCTAAGGTAAAATCCCCACAAGATATAACCCAATTTAGACCCATATCATTATGCAATGTCTTGTACAAGATAGCCTCGAAGGTGTTGGCACTTCGTTTGCGCCCTGAGCTTGAGGTAATTATTTCAGAAGAGCAAAGTGCTTTTGTTGCGGGACGGCTCATAACAGACAATGTCCTTACTGCCTACGAGTGTACACATTATCTGAAAAGGAAGAAAGGTAAAGCAGGAGCTTGTGCTGTTAAACTTGACATGGCTAAAGCATATGATCGAGTTGAATGGTCGTACTTGAGGGCGGTCATGGCCAAGCTTGGTTTCACGGATATTTGGATTAATCGAGTAATGTGCTGTGTGGAAACGGTGTCGTTTTCAGTCAGAGTAAATGGGGTGCTCTCGGAATTTTTTAAACCTTCCAAAGGTATTAGACAAGGGGACCCAATTTCGCCTTATCTTTTCCTTATTTGTTCAGAAGGTCTGTCTAGTATGCTCAAGAACTATGGGGCAGCACACCTTGGCAGGGGAGTCCGGGTTGGGATACATGCTCCATGGATCTCACACTTATTGTTTGCGGATGATTGTGTGGTTTTTACGCAAGCCTCGACTAATGGTGCAACCCGGTTACAACACATCTTGGAAAACTATAGAATCGGGTCCGGACAACTTGTCAATAGGCAGAAATCAGCGGTCTTTTTTAGTGCAAATTGCTCAGCTGAGGTGAAGCATACATTCCATCAGGCCTCAGGAATTGAAACCGAAGCGTTAGGAGAAAAGTACTTGAGTCTGCCAACTGCCCTTGAAGATGCACAGATGAGCAATTTGAGCACATACTTACAATTATTAAGAAGTTGATTAGGGGTTGGTCTCCAAAGCTCCTAAATAGCGCTGGGAGGGAAGTTTTAATCAAGGCAGTCCTTCAAGCCATTCCAACCTATTCTATGAGTTGTTTCCGTCTCTCCAAAAATATGTGCAAAAAAAATCACAACTACCATTGCCAGGTTTTGGTGGGGAGGAAATGAAAATACGAGCAAAATGCATTTGGAAGAAATGGAAGGATATTGCTGCTCCCAAATGTGTGGGTGGTATGGGCTTTAAAGACCTTGAGTTGTTCAATCAAGCAATGCTTGCTAAACAGGGTTGGCGACTTCTCACACAACAGGATTCACTCTGTGCCAGGGTGATCAAAGGCAAGTATTTTCATGATGTTGATTTTATGACGGCAACAAGGAAAAAGAATGCCTCGCATACATGGAGGGCAATTATGTATGGACGGGAAGCTCTAACTCATGGCCTGATCAAACGTATTGGTGATGGTAGCAATACTAGAGTTTGGGAGGACCCCTGGATTCCTTCAAACTTGGGCTTTAAACCCCTTTTACGTCTTCAAAACTCGACCGTGAATATGGTCGAGGACTTGATCAACCCATACAATGGAGACTGGAATAGAGAGGTTTTACAGAATAATTTCCTTCCTATTGATGCGGCTGCTGTGCAAATGATTCCTTTGGGAAGGATGGAAGAAGATAACTGGGCATGGCATTTAGAGAGAAGTGGAAATTTCAGTGTCCGGTCAGCTTACAGGGCAATGCTTGGTGCTCGGCAGCAAACAAATAATCCAGCTAGCTCGGCAGGTGATGATAGAACATTTTGGAAGAAGCTTTGGAAGATGCCTGTACCCCCAAACGTCCGTAATTTTTGGTGGCGTGTGATTAGGAAGTTTATCCCATGCCGATCTATTCTGAAGGAAAGACGTATTGAACAAATCAGTTTCTGCGAGGATTGTGGATGTGAAGAAACAATCACTCATTCTTTGTTCGATTGTACATGGGCTAAGCTGTTTTGGCATCAAATAAGGAACATGTTGGGTGTCAAACTTCCTCGTTTGCATCCGGACTCATGGGCGATGGATATGATTGATGGAGGTATGGTCAGTGATACAGATGCCGATGTCATCTTATGTGGATGTTGGTCTGTATGGTCAGAGCGCAATGCAAAGAAGCACGGAGATAAAGGGCGGTCGATCCAATGCTCGGTGAAATGGACTGCTGATGTGACTATGGATTTGATAATTTCATCAAAAGAAGGAAATAAAATGCCTACTAAGGCTGACGATAAATGGCGACCCCCGGAAATTAATTGCATTAAGCTGAATGTGGACGCAAGTTTTTTTTTGGCTGATTGTCTCCAAGGAAGTACAGGGGTAGGTGTGCGCGATCATGAAGGTAAACTCGTTCGTGCCCAGGTACTATGGTATGAACATGCAGCCAATTCTTTTGTTATGGAGGCGTTGGCTATTAGAGATGGAGTCCGACTTGCAGGTAATATGGGTCTCCGGAACATCATCGTTGAAACTGATGCTTTGGCTATTACGAAGCTCTGGAATACCAATAATTTTGGGCGTTCAGAAATTGCTGTTGTGCTTCAGGAAACTAAAGAGCTTTCAGAGAGTTTTCAGTTTTTTGTTTTGTCTTATGTTCCTAGAAAGGCTAATGAGCTTGCACATCTATGTGCAAGGCAAGCTAATCCTCATAGAAAGCGTTGTGTCTGGATAAATTTTATTCCTAGATTTCTAGAGGCTTGTCTGTACAAGGACCGTAACTCTCTGTCTTGATCAATATAGCTCTTTGAACTGCAAAAAAAAAAACAAAAAAAAAAAAACAAGGCGTACGCCGTTGGATGCCTCTGCACATGCGCCTGCTGGCTTGCTAAATCTGTTGGGATCTTGTGTGGTAGCGGCCTGTATTATCGATGTCGATGCAGCACTCCTCCGTCGGCCCCGTGCCCACTGCCCACGCCGTGCTTGTTCTAGGCCGCGCTTGGTGTGGCCACGAGTTGGCTCTTGGCTGTTGGGTCCGGGCCATGCATGCAGACATGCGCTGCTGTCGGCACCATGATAGCAAGAAACAATTTGCTCATGGGACCAATCTCGATAGATAGATAGAATCAGCAAAGCGGTAGTAAAACTGGTCTGCTGGTGTGGTGCCGAGCGGTGTAAAATTAAGTAGCCTGTGCTGATGGCGGCGTTAAAGAGTGGATCTCTCCTCCTTAACTGTACAGCTAACGAAGCTAGTAGCAACGAGCGAGGTTTGTAGCCTTTTGCAGAGGGCAGAGGGACTAGTTGCAAGTAGGGAGCAAGTGGTGGTGATGGTGCTGGCGTAGTACTACTACTCCAGATCAACCTTGCTTCGAATTAAAGATTGGTTGTGGTTGACAGAGGTTAAAGCGCGCAGCATCTAGTCTGGTGTGGTGCTAATCGTAATCTAATCTCTCGATTCAGAGTGAGACAGGCAGTACTGATTAGGTTGGTTCAAAAGAAAAGAAAAATGGTGATGCAGTAGTACGGCTGCGTGCGCGGGGCGCAGGACGTGCGGCGGCCTGCCTGCCGGCAAGTGGGCCGGCAGCGGCTGACCCCGGCTCCCTGGATGGCCAGTTAACTTACTGCTTGATCGGCTCTACGCAGAGTCCAGTCAGTACAGCCCTCGAGGTGCAACGCAACGTTCGTGCCTGCGCTGCGCTGCATCTCGCGATCTTTTTCTTTGTGCTGCTGCTTTGCCGATTTTTCCATGGGGGAAAGGTACGGCCGGGGCCGGGGGTGGAGGAATCAAATCAGCTTTGACGTATCATACGGCCTGTGATTTCGGGAGGAGCGCGCGGCAGGGGCGCCCATCCCGAACGGAGCCGGCCGTGGCCGGCCCGCCCCGACACGGCGAGTGGAGCGGCACCCGCCGCACCGCGCCGCATTGAGCGGCTGGTGGTTGCAGGGCGGGCGGGGTGGTGGGGAAGTCTGGGTGGTGGCGGTGCCGTGGACGTGGGGGGCGGCCGGGCGGGTGGCCGCGCGCGGCAGGGCAGAGCGGGGAGCACATGCCATTGCCGAGGTCGGGTTTGGATGCAGGGATCGATCGGGTGGTGATGGTTCCGTGTGTGTTCATCGGACGGTTACGTCTTGTGGTGTCCACGGATTGGACGCCCTGGATCCTCGTCGGGCAGAGTTGGAAAACAAACCCTCAGTTTGGTCGATGGATCATGGACGAAGAAGGGTGGGCGTACAAAGTAGTGCTCGCATTTATTCTTTAATTTATTTTAGGATTTCCGACGATGCGCATTCAGTGGGAGGAGATGTTCCCGTCGACAACGAGGTGCCCATGGTGACTTCGTAAATTTCAAGATGATATACCGGCCCAGTCTTTCGAAGGTGCTCATAGGGGTAGGGTATGCGTGTGTCCGTTCATAGAGGGTGAGTCTATGCGCGTGTATATGAGCGCTTGTGTCTGTACTGATGTTCAAAAAAAAAGTAGACTGGCAAATTGCGTCCCAGGATGAAAACGTATGGCACATTTGCTAGCTTGTATGTAGCTCAACCAGGCATGCACGGTATAGAGATGACATGTTCGATTGCCTCGGCTACATCTATCTTCTGATCCCCGGGCCAG